TATATATATAATACTGGTGACACTGGCAAGGACCACGTGACGACCTATTAGTTATTGGCCCAAACTCAGAGTGCGCTGTTCAATGTCGTCTACGGTCAGATCTCCCGACTAGCAGTCCATATTTATATAGTCAAAGGTTCCAAAATCTTACCTTGGGAACCGAAAACTATAGTACACGTGACGTAAAATATAGCATTTTAGTAACCAAAGTAGGATTTTGGAACGTACCCCTGAATACACCCAATGACGCTTGTGTGCAAACGAATGGTGTTCCCGAACGCAGATTTACATATAGTCAAAATTAAAAACATAATAAACCGATCGTAATTTTCTTCTCATCTTTGCTGTTTTGTAACTTATATATTGAAAAAGTGTAAACGGAAGTTGGAAGCACGTCAAACAATAATTAAATAAAAGGCAATTATGTGGCCAAAAGAATACATGGAGTTCCAGGTGATAAAAACATTTTGTTGTGTTATATAGCTCTATATATATAAAAAAAAAAAAATAATGTGAATCGAAAACAATAGATTTTGGTACTATATATTGTATTTTAGCGTATTGATGAATTATTACAATGTGGGATATGTTATGAATATATGGATACCAGTATGATAACTAAGTGTTCACATAATTGTGAGTATTCTTTTGAAATCATTTTATCATTATACATGTATGAAATCTATATATATAATATATTAAATTAATTTTAGATTGCTCTTTGTGTATTAGAAAATATCTGTATTATAAAACACAATGTCCAATTTGCTTTGAAAATACCTTTGAGAAAGATTTACAAAAGAACAAAGTTTTGGATGAAATTATTACTCACTTTGTAAATGTTAAGAAGAAACTTATGAAAATATCTCATCAAGACAAATTATTAAAAAATACTGTACAAAATACAACTTCTGAACTAATGTGTTCTTCAAGCAATTCAGAATATGATAAAATAGAAAGTATCGAAGACACAAGTAAAACATTACTTAAAAATTCTGATAGTCCAGTTCTTATAACTAATAACACTACACCTCATAAACGAAAGGATTATCAGACAAATATATTGACTCCTAGTACTAGTACAGAACGTAAAATATCGTCATTTTTTACACCAAAGAGTAGTAAAAGTTTAAGAAATGACGAAAATCATGAAAAGGTAATATGTCCAGTTTGTAAAGTAAATGTGTGTGAAACAAATATTAATAAACATTTGGATGATTGTTTAAAAAGGGAAAATGCAAAAGCTCAACCTAAAAAGTAAGTATATGACATTATTTTGTTGAAAGCTTTTAGAGGAAATTCTTATATAAATTGTTAGATGTCTGTGAGAAATCCAGATTCAACTTCTAACCAAGATGTTTTTTTTTGCAATGAAGGCTTTTTACATTTTATAATGAGATATGAGATGGAAATCAAACATTCTGTACAAATTGAATATTTTTGAATTACATTTCATTTAAATTTCAATGTGTATTAGTTTACACATTACAAAAAAATTATATTTATTTGCACATACATTCAGCATTTTAGCTCATATCAACCTCAATATTTAGTTGAATACAATTTGTAATATTTCAATACATGTTTAAGAAATGTCTTTGAATACTTGTTTATTTGTAGAAATGAACCAAAATTGAAACCACTGCCAAAGCTAGTATTTTGTTTAATGAAAGATAGTGAAATTAAGAAAAAGCTAAAACAATTCGGCTTGTCGACTCAAGGAGACAGAAGAATGTTAGAAAAAAGATTGAATAAATATACTATTTATTATAATGCAGAACGTGATAAAGTAAATCCGAGGCCAATATCAGAGATAATTAAACAACTTGAAGAAGAAGAGAATATAGAAAAAAAAGCAAACATCTCATCACATGTAAGTGTATTATATCATGAATAATTATTATCAATCATTTACAAAGTAACGTAATGATTTTTGTATGTTAATATATTAAATTTTATAGAAATTGAACATTAACAGATGTACAGAACATAATATTATAGAGCAACAGAGAAAAAAATATTGTAAGTACATCCATGTGTGAATGATTTATAATAATTAGAATATATATATATATACATATATATATATAATTTACACTTTATTTTTAGTGGCTGAAAACAGAGATAATTTTGATAAAATAATTGCAAAAATAAAACCTTCAAAAAAATTACCTGTTCGACGTAATATGTTTAGCAAAGAATATTCTAACATTTCCCATAATAATAACATTACAGAAACAAAGTCAAGTAATAATTCTATAGATCCTAAAGATTTTGTAATAACTGAGTTATCTTCTAATTCTTCCGATTTTACTAATTCTACTAATCAAAGTTTATTAAATCATAAAACTTCAAATCGTGCTTGTAGCTCAGATTTAGAAACTTCTATTGTAAAAACAGAAAAAGTAGGAATTGAAGAAATGTCATTTTTCAAAAGAGCTGAAATACAAGAAGAGATAATTTGTACTAATCAGTCAAGAGATAATATTTTGAAACATGAAATAGACAGTAATATAAAAAAATCAATTGACTATACTGAAATCGAACCGGAGTATAAACAAGGAAGTATATTGTCTATGAAGAAAAGTAGAAGTGACATTAAATGTAGTCTAGACAAAAGAGTCGCAAATTCGGAACATACGGATGAGAGACAGAAAGATCTATCCAATAAAGATTTGTATGAAGATGTATGTATAATAGAGGACAATGTCGGTAATATTCAGGATGATTATGGTAAATAACTTGTAATATTAATAGCTATTTTTTTCGTTTTAGAATTGTGATAAAAATCTATATATATACACACAAATATAAAGTTATAAATAATTCTAGAGTTTTTTTTGTTTTTCTCAAAGTAGTGAAACTTTTAATAAAACAGTCACTTTTTACAGATAGCGTAAAGCAAACTCAGTTGCGTAATACACAAGAATCTAATTGCACAAAAAGCGAGAAAGAAAATCTAGAGTCAAGAGATGAAGATGTAAAAACTTGTGCATTTAGAAAACGTGAGCGTGAAGTGATGCTTACGTCAAATGACGAAGAAAAATATGAAAATAAGTCCACTGCCAAGAAATTAACTAAACTCCATTCGAGATTCTGTCTTAGCGAAGCTAAGAATAACAATGAAACTTTTGCATGGGATGAAGAAAATTCCCATGCAAAATCCCAAAGCCAAAAGAAACAATCACGTGTAACTCGTGCAAAAAATAGATCTACTTTTGCAAAAAAGTCTGTTAGATTGAAAAGCAAAACTTCGTAGAAATTTGTTCAAATAAAAAGTAAAAATCAGTAAAGTAAACAAAATAAGTTAACTTTAAAATAGTAAAACTATAGAAATAAATGAGAAACATTGAAGTTTCCTGAACAGTAGATCTATGATTATAATTTTACATTGTTTTATATGGAATTGTATATATAAGTTTTCTATCATGTGCATATATAGTGCCTTTAATATAAAAAGAAATGTACAATATTTCTCTATAGGTAATGTAAAACATTAATGTAAAACATTAACGATATGTGAGATTAAAAGCAGAATATATATTAATAGTATTAGTATTATTTATTTCCTTTTTTCTTCTTTTATTAAAGAAATGAGTTTTATTAAACACAAACTTTTATTTACTATATCAAAAAAAGGAGAACAATAGTGATGAATCAATTGACGCACAGATTTCAATAAACTTACATATATTTCAGATATTTATATTGACACTAACAATAATTTAATAATCTTAAGAGATAATGTCAAACACTAACAAAATATAACTGCTCGTCTTTAACGATCATTTTTACATTTTACAATAAAATGTGTCTTTGATGTTACACAACTTTGATATTAATTTACACTTTGGTATCGATTTATATACAATTATATAGCTATATAATATTATGTTTAACCTTATGTACATCTTATAACATTTTAAAATATTCTGATGCTCTCATTCTATAATTTATTTACAAGCGCTCTCTCTTTCTCTATAATTCTCAACGACTATCATTTCACTAAGAGTTTAAAGGTAACAGCCTCGAAAAAACGCGATATTATATCAAGGCAAAAGGTAGGCAATTGTAAAAGGCCAATTCTCTTCTACTTAATTAAGAAAAAAGTTTTGAAAATAGATTATCTGTTTTATTTAAATAAAGATTTCTCTAGTGAGTTCTTTTTCTATCACAATATATTTTAAGTAGAACATCAACGACTGCTGTTAATTACAAATGGACAAAGCTAAAATGTAAAGTTTATAGCACGACGAATTTTATTATATAAAGTTAATATTTACATTTATTATTAGGAATTTATTATATTTATTATTTTTATGTATCATTTTTATATATTATATTATTAATTAATTCGCACGCTAATATATGTCAAGCCCCTTCGAAATAAAGTTTATTTTTCACAAAATAAAAATATGAAGTAATGCATGTATAATAAAGGACGTATGTGCAATATGTAAAATGTACCTACTATGTACAAACTCTCAGGCAAGAATTCTTTTTATGCTAATGAACTTTTAAATATAACATCTTTACACTATACGCGCGCGAACACACACACACACACATAGTATATCGCAGCTTTGTATAAATGATCGAGATCGTTTTCTCATGCGAGGGGTAATTAATATTAATACTTTATGTTTTGAGGCTATAATTGTAAATGAACCAAATCTCGTTTTGCAATGTTGTCTTCTGTAATTATATTTTGATTGATCTTTTGATTCTCAAATTCATCCAAGGAATGCATAGACCTGAGCCTTCAAAATTAGAGTGTGTTTCGATTATTCTACAATTACATATTACGCAATTTGCGATTGATATGTCAGATGTCCTTTAGAAATGACAGCTAATAAATTATCACGTTCAAACATATTGCGATTTCAACTAGAGAGAAATAATATCAATTTAAAATGTAAATTACGTCGACAAACTGGGAATTCATGAAATCGGACCTGACAATTCACGCATCTCTCAATTATCTTACTATCAAATATAGTGTTTAACTTTCAGAATAAAGAGTAGATTCTTATATTTTCAAATATTTCAGAATTTCGAATATGTCAGAACATTTGCGAGTTTTTACCGTGTCATTCTTCTCGATAATAGTCTTTTGTGATCGAATACAATACTAAAAAGAAAATTCCCTTATCCAGCTGGAAGCGCGCGCCGCGCGTCCGCACTGCTTTTTTCTCGTAGAATAAGATTATCTTGTGAAGATAGGTCTCTTGTGAAGATGATTTTTCGCCATTGACAGTGAGTGATTCGTTTTTTCTTCCAATTCTTGATAAATCCACTGATTGATGACACTTGTTATATCATCGTGTCTTTTATCTCTAATCACATTACAAAATCACGCTTTTTAATTTTCTATTGTTATCTTAATAACGAGATTTTGTTGAAAAAAAAAAAAAATCAGCGCCTCTACGTTTGATTTTATAGTAAATTTCTGTATGTAATAACTGCATAAGATCCACTATTGTTCTTAATAAGGAAGATGCTGATTAGAACATTATTTTTATTGATTTCCTATTTAAATCACGCACTGGACTAGTGTCACGTTACATTCTCCCGTTTGGATCTTCTCATCACTGTGATACCTATTGAGCCCCGTATCTTGCGCAGCAGATCTATTATGTCTGCCGTCGACATGTGTTCCACACTTTCTTCATTAACCTGGCGGTAGAAGAAACAAGAAATTGTATGTATATATGTTCTATAAGAAGAAGAAATACTTATAAGAGAGTGAAAAACGCGTAGTTGAAAACTCACCATCAACAACACGTCACCCTGCTTTAATCTGCCATCCTTGGCTGCGACGCTATCTGGGTGTACGACCGATATCACCGTACGTTTCCCTTCCGGTTGCAGGCTGAATCCCAACCGGCTGTTCCACCCTCGCGTCAGTTCTACCATGAACACCTGCAACAGCGAATACAAATTGCGCAACATTGCGATGCGATGTTTTGCAATCATACGCATGACATGTGTAATTTGACTATATAAAGTCGCGATACGATAAAGGGACCAACCTCACTGCCTTGTTCATGATCTTTTGTAGGAGCTACTGAATCAGTGGTATCTTTTCCAGTATCTTCTTGATCGTATTCCGCGTCTTGATCTTCCACTTCGTCATTCGGAGCAAACATCACACCCTTCCACTTCAACAACCCTTTACTGCCACCAGGATCGTCTGTTCCCAAGACCTTTCCTGCGCGACGCAACAAAACACCGAGTTTATCGGAATGGAAATAATACTGATTGACGCCCGCGCGAATCGGTTGCCTGTTTTTACAGCGACGTGACTGTGTGTTATCTTATCTTTCTTTTCTCCTTCTCTCTGCCACGACAATACTGACAATACTGACGTAACTTGCACCACCAAATCGTACATGCAATTTTACCAACGTGAGAATTAATTACGAAAAGTTTTATTTTGTTTTAAATCTATAATGTTAAAAAAAAAAAGTAAAAAGAAAGCGCATGATACATTAATGATATATTCATGAATTTATTAAAATAAATGCACAATTAGAAAACAAAAAAGCTTTTCAATAATAGCTTGCACGCACGTAAAAAATTAAATATTTATAACAAAACAAATCTCAATATATACCTCAATCATATAATACTTGATCTGAATAAAATATTGAATCGAGTATTATGTAAATGTAAAAGTTTATCGAGTTTATTCAAATAATCGATTTAAATATTGAATATATAAGTGAATCAATCAACAAAAATCACACTACTCGATCAAACTCTGTAATCTCATAGATTTACCAAGTCAATAAAGAAAAACTGAAGAGAAAAGAACAAACGCAAATAATTACCTGGTATGTCTTGATCGCTGGAGTGTGTGACTTTGCTTTTGGATGCAGTCGGATCGCTGTTGCTGCTGCTGCAAGCCGGATTGGCGCTCTGATAAGCTGGATTCTTGTAGCTGAAGGCTGTGGTACTGCTGCTGCTAGCAGATGAAAGTACCGGCGGCATTGAAGCCGGTTCGGACGGCAAGTCGTTGTCGTGCTCGTCACTCGACATTATTGTCACGCTTTTGTCGTCGCCGTAGCTCGGTTCAGCCAGTCGGCCTCGTTCTGTTTCGGCGAGGATCAAGTCTCCGTTATTGGGATACTCGGTGTCCGAATCGACGCTACAAAATTGGAAGTGCGGCTTGCCTTGTGGTGCCGACAAATCAAGGAAACTCGGTCTGGCCGCTGTCAGATTGTTGGACGTTGACTTTGACTGTAACTTGTCATCATCGTTCTCCTCGTCGCAGACATCGTAAAGTGGCGGCGGGTCGATTATGTCGTTTGCAGATGTGTTTGCCTGAGATTTGGTGATCTGCGTTCGGACGGAGCATTGATCCGAATCCGATGCGGTCTCCGCCTGGCTGGCCGTCGACGACGTTGTTTGCATGTCGCACAGCTTGTCCTCAGGAATTTCTACGACACGGAGGACACTTGTAAGCGAAAACTTTTTTCGTGACATGAGATTGTCGTAGAGATCCAAAAAGATAGTTCTATCCCGCGCGATTTGTCCTACAGTTTTTTATAATTACGCAAAAAGTCCTGTACAAATGTTGCTAATTAATTACGATACCTTGTACAGTCTCAGCAGAAGGAGTACGTGTAGCGAGTCGACGCAGTCTTCGTGGCGAGTTACATGATGCACCAGGGGATTGTTGTTTGCAACTACTAGAACCACTCGATGCGCCAGGTGATAGCTTTCGGACTGCTAAGTCACACAGCATATCCACAGCTTCTTGTCTATCAAAAAATAACATATAGTTATTCTGTTATAAAAACAAGTTCACGTACCGATAATGAGAGAAAAGCAATTTCAGACTTTGAATTTTAAACTCAACAAAAATAAAATAAAATTTTCATCAAAATCAAACTTGTTTCATTTGTTGCTAACTCTCTTTATCTATTGTGGCTCGTTTTAGACTTTTTGTCTTTTATTATTGTTCTTTATATATTTTATACAAGTTCGAATTGAATATTTTAATTACCTCAAACTTGTTCGTGGAGGACGGAGAGGATGATCGGGCTCGGTAGGCGAGAGCGCCGAAACTGGGGTTTGCGCCAAATCGCGGTACAGTCGCAACTTCACCGTCGGCCCGCATTGTCGCAGCAACTGGACGGCTTCTTCGTGACTCATCGGCGACAAAGGTGCTCCATCCACTGCGACGATTTTGTCACCTGGTCGTATTCTGCCGTCGCTCAGTGCCGGCTCGCGCACTAAAGCCCGTACATAATGGCCCAAAGCACTGCTATCCGCTTTCCTCAGAGTAAAGCCAAGACTGCCGCCAACTTTTGTCATCTCGATGTCAAACTCCTGCGTAGACTTATCTATCTTAATTGCGAATCTTTAAACTTTTAACTTAGAGTATAATTTTATATAAGATTTAAAACAATTTAAAAAATTGGATAAAACATTATGTTTGTGGTTTTTGTTTATGTCTCTGAAATAATTCTACTTGGTAAACAATTTTATGTACGTAAATATACGTTCATCGAACGTTGTTCGTTGAAAGAGCGCTACTTACACCGCAGGGTTCGATCTGCAGGGGTGGCAAGGGGTTGAGTAAACGCGGTTCTCGTCTTGCCGGAGGTGGCGGTGGCGCACCCGGTGGCGTTACATTACTATCTCCTGGAAGCCGACACACCACCAACTCGACCGTACTGGGCGTCGTACGCAGAACTTCGAGAGCCTCCTGCAACAAGTAGCATCAAAATAAGATCACGCAGGACTTACTTCTCCCTCCTCCTCCGCGTATCTACATATAATATGTCTTCCAAGTTCGCCAACGGTCGGTATCTTCTTTAAGAGAATGTTACTAACTCTTATCTTATTGTCTTTAGAAGTTGTGTAACATTTATAAAATGTATATGTATGCGTTATGCATAGTTTGTAAGTTTTCATTATTTGATTTACTTATGTAATAAAAGAAAAATTTCGTTTTTCTGCACGTTTTTAACACTAGATATACCAGCTATTTAAATATACCTATTAAAAAATACAAAAAATATATTTGTTACGAATATATATAAAGTAACATTAAGTTCATAAAATGTATTCTCTACTTATAGCTACAAAAGTCATAACATCATTTCGGAAAGCAAATNAACATTAAGTTCATAAAATGTATTCTCTACTTATAGCTACAAAAGTCATAACATCATTTCGGAAAGCAAATGTTACATGCAGTAGGAATTTTGAATTGAAATTGCACGACCAGTCAAAATGACTGGTCTGGTAAATCTAGTGTTAATGTTCAATTAATTAAGTTAATTAAAAATTACTCACGTAATTTGTGAGACCGGTCAGCGGGATTCCATTAGCAGCCAATAGTATGTCGCCAGTTTGAAGTTTATTGGACAAGGCGGCGGGTTGTTGGGGGAAGAGCCTCTTCACTCTGACGGGTCCTGCAGTACCGCCACCGGAAAGACTTAGACCGAGACCGCGACTGCTTTTCTGCAGCGTTACTCGGAATGTACTCTCTGCAAAGTAATTTAAACTAAATTATTTTTTTACCGTAATTGCAAACCGCCTCTTGAGAGGCGTCATGTTCTGCTAAGAATATTTCGTTTATCTGTTTTACGTGGCTCGCGCGCGTGCAATTGTCGAAACTCAAACATAATAATACTGAACGCTCGAGTAGCTGAAATATCCGACACTTTGCAGCTTATATAAACTATAATAAAAAATACTCATCTAAAAATTTATTATATACACAATATATTAAAAAATATCAAAGGTTATATTATTATAAACGATTATGACGTCGATTATGACGCGTATAAAAAATATAAAATCGAGAATTGAAAATTACAAAGTCTGGAGTGTGTTGTGTACTTGTAATGATCACAACTTGGTCACTTTCGCTGAAATGACGAATTAATATTTGAGCTACAACACAGGAACAATTACTTTCTGTCGCGGTATCCTACGCCACGGTGCGATGTACTACATGCATATTTCAAGCCTTGCAGTAACTTTTGCGGAATGAGTTCTGTCGGCTATAATTTTCGTAACATTTGTCCAGAAACCGTGTTTCCGAAATATGCGTAAACATGCGAGCGCTCTCAGTGTGTGTGTATGTAATGTGTAATACTATATTGTTAGCGTTTCAACATCAACATATATATTTGCCGACAATTGTACGTATTTACACAGACGTGATTATTTTTTGATTTCGGAACTTTGATGCAACTATGTCACGTGCTATGTTCGCATCAAGTTAATGTTTAATAGCCGAAGTATCGGTATTGCAGAACGTCAGGCCAGCACCCCAATCGAAGTAATGAAAACAACCGCATCAACTAATATAGAAGTTTCTAATAGAACATACCTATGATGCAATGCATCAGAAGTTTGAAGCGACATATTATATAAAGTAACAAATTTTGTGTGTAAATAGTAATTAGTGTCAATTAAAAAACAATTAAGACTTTTTCTATTATCGATATTTTGTATTAAGACATGCTTTCCTATCTCTGTTTTCATTTTTTTTATTAATTTAAAATCAGTCGCTTTCAGTATTGGTTTAAACAGTAATATAAATTGAAATTTGTCAAAGTCGGTGTGACCGCATATCTTTATTTAAAATAGTCCAAACAACTTGTTACTTGGCAAAACTAACTCGTGAGCTATGTAGATATGGTTTTTGAATTTTCACAAAAAATTACGTGCGGCATCTGAGCGGCTAAAAATCTTGTCAAAGTTTTCAAGTTCATGACTCGTAAAATGGCGATTCGAAAGTGTTTTATGCGAAAATCAATGTGAAAACGACTTCCACAGCTCGAAATGACCCACCTTCCACCGGATATTGACCCGATCTAGCCAACATATTGCGCGTATTGTTCACTTTGTTCACTTTGCTCGCTATTCAAATTCGCTCCCTCCCTCATTCGTCACCTTACAAAAGAGTAATTTACGTTTGCCGCATTATTGTCTGGAGTCATACAGTGTCACTTCTTCCGAAAGAGAGACTGAGGCCCCATTGTTAAAATCGCTTCGAAATTGCAGGACAGTTTCTCATTCAATGGATTCCCCTGATCGTTTGCTAAACGCCTCGTGAAATTGGACGGCCGATTTTACGGAAGTGACAATTTTCCTGTATGCTACGCACACGTGTAAATACATTGTTCCATTGTACACGATTGTTACATTTAAAATCGTGCTCGCACTGAGCGCGATTAAGGCAGCTACTTTACTTAGGAAACTGCTAGCCGGAGACACATTACACAAAAACATTTTCAAATTAGCTTTGATTAAACAAATTACCAAGATAAATACATGTCTCATTTCTACACATATGAACATTTTGAATCAATTTCAATATGGACATTGTTGCATGATCTTTATTGATAATTTTCTATAAATAAGTTTTTCTCTTATAATAATAAGTTTCTCTTAATTTCAACTCGCGCCGCAGGATATTTTTCGATTACCAAGAATTCTAATCGATTATGTACGAAAGCTTGTCAGAAAATAGTCAATCGTAACCATTTCATTCTTCATGTTGAAAACATCATTAAGCTATTATTATCATCGATCAACAATTGTCGCCACTCTTTGCCCTGCATGTTTTTGTTCGCTCTGGGGACGTTTTCTTCTAACGTAATAAAGAACAAAGATCTTTCTCACCTTGCACAACACAGCAGCTGGACATTGATACCGACGTAATTTTATCCGATCGATATATCGAGTTGAATAGAACAGAAATTAAAAAGCTTGTCGGCGAGTACAGAGTAAATTATAGACAGAAGTAATTATAAAAAGAGCAACAAAAAATCTGAATAAACACGCATAGTGACAACGTATGAATTGAACAAAATGTTGTTTTTGTAAAAAACTTATACGTCGATATTCCATTATTATTCAATGACGTGATTGTCCGAAACAAATGTCACGCGCATTCTGTGAAATATTCGAGACACGATTTATGCCGCTTACAGTTAATGCCATCTGCGCTATAACGCGACTCGATTTATTCGCGTTCCAGTTTGTTGCGTAGATTTTTATTATACAAACGATTATTGCGTGAAATGGCGCGTAGTTGTAAAGTATCTGACCGCACCGATTATAAACTATCGTGTATGTCTGTCCAAAAAGAAATTGTTGCAACCGCATACAACGGTTTTTGTGAAAAGCGTAAAAGCGGTGCAGCGGAATATAACGAGGACGACGCGGCGGTGAGACATTAAACCGCAATAACGCGATCGCCATCAATTCGGCTATAGATTATCCAAGAGGGCTGAGAGAACACGCGGTCAAACCTAGAAGTTCCGTCCGCCGATCGGAAATCCGGCTGAGTGTTCCATTGACCTGCTCTTCACAGCGCGGTTGATACACGTTTTTTGTTATCGTATATTCTATAATGCGCTTTATTGAAACACATCAGAAGAGCGACGACGAGACAGGATCGAAAGAGTATTCGTGCAAACTTATAAAATCGCTGACTTTAAGTTGTAATAATAAACGAGAACCGTGACGATGAGTTGGTAATAGAGCAAACAACGACTTCAACTTAATTTGACGAATTATGCTCTGTTAATTTATAATATTTCTGTAAGGATTATCTCCAATTGAGTGAAATCCATAAATCCATCTCCGAAAAATCTATTCTTTATGAAAATGAACAAACAATCTGTCACTAAAGTGCCGAAATTATCATATTGATCGATCGTTATTTGTGAGAAGTTATACTTCGAAGAACCATTTACAAATTTTATAGCATCCTTTCAAAGAGAAAGATTCTAGTTTGCCGTAGAGTTTTCAGTTACGCAAGCTTTTATTTCGAAGAGCTCTGCTTCGTTCAAGGAATGCGCTAGCCAAGAAAATCTGCAGAAAATGACTAAGAACGTGTGAAGAATTAAAAATAAAGTCGACTAAATGTTCGCGAAAAATTGATGTGACTGTTTCTCACGTTTTTCTTTTGTACCGAATGAAATATCAGAGAGCGCATTTATCGTGCACGTTTATTACTGATTTCTTAAAGACGAGAAAATCCACGGCACGCGATCGCGATTAACAACGATCTCCTTTTAGGGCGAGGCGTTTCGCGCGCATAAACGGCTGGTCGCTATCGACTCGAATAATGCAATACGTGGGAGCATTAAACTACAATAACGCGATCGCCATCAGTCCAGCTATGGATTACGACGACCAAGAAGAAGCAGGAAAGCAGTCGTAATACTTTCCGAAACTCCTGAATGTTTGTGCCGACGGTTTTTGCGTGAAAGAAATCGAACGTCCTTTATGTTCCTCATTTCGCATAAATAAGCAGAGATATGCAAGATATATGAGTTGCACAAATTTCAAGATTGTGAATGTTAATGTGATCTTGGTAGTTAAAAAAAACTATCAAGTGAAGGCAGTGAAAAATGAATAACTGCTTCTTTTGAAAGTTTGTAAAGTAAAATCTTAAATAGAGGAAAAAATCTTTTGTTCACACATTACAATATTTCGCTAACTTTTATATTTTTTTTATAATGCTTGTAAGATTGTATTGTTTATTTAAATTTTTTGTGTAATTCGCCCTGACGTCATTCCTGGTATAGCAACAACCTGTCGGGAATTATCTGGTAGCCAATTCGACGCGGTGGCGTGCACGCTATCCCAGTCGAGTCGAAGAACCGAAATTTCCCTACCGTGCAACAGCACATCCGGAACGCCCGACGAGGGCCTAGCATTAGCTAGGCAATCGGTCGACGAAATTATTCATGCTGTGGCATGCTATGAGGCTACGTACCACGCCACGCGATGTACCCCGGCGTCGGCAGACTTCCTGACAAATTACGATCGCCACGCGCACGAAGCAAGGGTCGTCGATCGGAAATTACTTTCGTGCTGGGGATGAGGTAGGCATTACGAACCAAGTTCCGGTATTTTTAAATATGTTCCGCGCGGAAGACGATCGAGTCGCAAAACGCAAAATAGATTATAAATTGAAAATATGTCAACTTTGGCTTAAATTGTTGCTACATTTAATTAAATATATATTATGTTTCTTGTTTTTCTTATATAGTAGTTAGTAATTAATTATCATCCAAGTTAAACAATTATTACAATTTTTTTCTTGTGTAGAAAGAATAAACGTTATAATATTTATGAATTGTTACGTAAATGTCTATAGTAATTTTTGTCTTCAAAGATTTAAACATGAACGGGCAATAAAAAAAAAAGTGATTTTCTTGTGCTATGAGGATTTCTGTGGATAAACTGAGATAAGAGAAGATCTGTATATCCATTCTCTTCGAAAGATAAGTCGTCTTCCTTTTTTATCCCTTCATTAACATTCAACGCGTTATCGCTTTTCTTTGTTTTTACCGGAAAGAGGGGAAGTTATTAGATCAATTAGGGACGTACAGGCACAATGTGCAAAAGTTGCAAGAATTGTAAAGATTGTAAAGTTTTACCTTCTTCCTTAAATGTGTTGTGCGATCGAATGGGCCGAAAGTTCTTATCGGAAACTTTTGTGCACGCGAAAATGTTGTCTTACGATTTCAATTTTCAGAATCATTACATTCACGAATAGCATAGAAAGTACATAATTGTTTCAAATAAAAAAAAGAAACAGATTTTATATAGTGATATTTTATTCACATATATACCAAATCTGTAATAAATTAATATGAAATCATACATATAGCGATTTTTTTCTAACTATTTAAATGTATTACGCGAGAAAAATCTTATGCAACATGATATATTTAAATTTAGATTTTCTTATAAAAAATCACGGACGTTTGTTCTATACTAAAGTGAGTCATATTCTATATCCTATATCAATTAAACCAATAGATATAATAAACAAATAAATCATAGAGTAAAATAGAAATAAAATGACATGAAAAATAATAACAAAAAATGAAATAAATATTGAACAAAAATATTTTTCGAAAAAATAGTCCAGTGTGTCCCAAAAATACTGTCAATTATTTGAACTTTTGCATTACGGTCAGTTGATCGTAACATCTTGTACAAAATTATCTGCAAAGCTCATCCTATAACCCGCTTGCGGAAAACGTGCAAGAATACACGCTGAAACCGGGAAACAATATAGCCAATATTCTCGTCCTCGATCGACGTCCCGACAACTCGCGCCTCAACAAATAGGTCAATAGGTGAGACGCATGGAACACGTACGTCGAAGTGACCTAGTTCGGAATAAGGTGAGAGCGGTTGTGCAACGGCCGCTGCGATCAATAGCGCATTCTTGACTTAGAAAACTTACAATGTCAGCGTTGGAAAGAAGTAAGGCGGTACCGCAAAGTGGGTGAGCGAGATGATTCGCGAATTGAACGTCGTTACGACAAGAAAATATCTTTTTGCGGAAAATTCCTTTTTTGTAAAAAGCGAATCTAAAAGTTGAAAGCTACTTTCTCAACGAAACATCGCCAGATCTGGATCAATTTTTCGGCGGAAACTGTGATTTCCGATCATTAAGTTGTCTTTCATTCCGGTAAATCGTAATAATGTCGTTATCGCCGAGTCATATCAAGACTTACTATCAATCTTCCGACAACAACTTTATCTTCAAGACAGACTCTATTCTTTTTGATTCATACGTTCATTCAATCAAAACCGAGTGTCTTTTTTTTATCAACGCCAATGATGTGCAAACAACGAGAGAGAGAGAGAAAGAGAGAGTGATGTGAATTAGTTTCAAATATCTACACTGGATGAAAATAGCCTGCGGAAACTTTAATCGCTCGTCTCAAATTCAACCAACGTTCTACCACAGACATCGAGTTATAGGAAAAGAGTCCTTGACTTTCCCCGACACGGAAACGTGAAATATTTTCCGGTCGGGTGCACGATTCTTTGTAGCGATATACAATGACAAGTATAAACAATCTACACTGCAAATATGGAAACTGTATAACAAGAATTGTACTTGATATGTTTATCGATCCGGCAAGTTTGCCTTTGTTGATTTTTAACACGACGTATGCACACCGTGCGACCGATATATTACACAGTAACCTCGTAATTTTGAAGTCGGCTTCGGATCATACGCCGCAAATGTCCGCACAGAGCACAAACGCGCGACCGTAAAGTTGTTCACAAAGGACCGCATATATTCTGGGTCAGGGTCTCTCAAACTGGATTGTCTCGCTCACCACATTGTGTATATCCGGAACGTGCGCTCAACAATTTCGGAAGATCTCACTATCAACTTGCAATTGTTATTTCGCACCGGTATTCTGCTATCCCGCATTCGACTATATAAACGGGGCTGAACTGTTGAAAAAAGTTTGGGTTTACATTCAACGCAAACCCGAAAGAATGACTGACAATGAGGGAACCGCGTTGTGAAATTCGAAAAAATTTTGTCGCGCGCAAAATAGACATAAACAGCGAAAGTAAGCTTAGAAAACTACGAATAAAGCACGTTACGACGATGAGATATGTCGTGAAACTTCTTACAAGCAGAGTACTACTTTGGACTACTTTATACCTTGAGAACCTCTGCTCCAGGCAGAATATGTACGAACAAGGGTACCATAACTACCACCGCAAAGCTCGCTCGTCAAGCACAACGAACAACAACGGTGACTTGTTAAATCATGTTATTAACATACTAAGGAATGTCTTAGCGTGTCACAGCTGGTTATAAATGCATTCAACGGAGTGAATTAAATTTTTCTGTTGCACCGAGAACTAGAATTTTTCGCCGAAATCGTTAGAATTTATGTCACAATATTTTCGTGTTTCGATTTAATTTATTTTTGGTCTCGAGTTACTTTATTTCATGAAATAAAAACGATCTGTCTCGTATCTTTCTGGTGACAATATTGACTGTTGTTTGGATACAATATATTGACGCGATATTGAATCAAACAAAAATTAAATGCGAAAAATAGCACCGTGTGAAACTGCGCATCTGCTAAGTGCGAAACACGCGTCACGTTGAATTCGCGTGATAATTCAACGAGAGTCACACACGAAGATATAACACTGTGCGCGCTCGTGCGCTGATACTTTCATTATTATGTTAAAGCGAATGTAACAAGATAAAATTATTCGAGAGGACCACATATCAACACTATATATAAACAAATTAACCTTTTCGCTCCGGGGATTTTTCCTTTAAAATTGACCTCGCATTTTAGCTGAAAAAGTTATTAATAACCTGCTACCCCCCCTTCAAAGTTAATTTTGAAGGTCAAAGAAGTAACCAGGATTTTTTTCAATTTTTTTCCTAAATTTAGTGCATTAAATTGACCTTATAAACATCTATTACGTTTGCTTTTCTTGCTGGTCCATATATGGACCAGTCCCGGAGCGAAAAGGTTAATCACGTAAGATAGAACGCGCGTTATTTCTGTATTGATAATTAGACGCGCATTATAACAAAAACTCAGTTTCCTTCTGAATTATTGCGGCAACATTAACACGGAAAGTAACGCGCTGGAATAATTCGTCAGCAGCGTCACTCGGCGAACAGCTCCTTCCGAATGCATGAGATTGAAATTGAAAATATGTAGATTTCACATGCGCAATGGAACAGGCACATTCATGCGAAACGTGCGAACGGTGACGCACTCGCGCGACCGGCTATCGATCAAATCGTTCGATATCGGTCCGATGCCGAAAGTAAATGACCTATTTCGAGAGTTTTCTGCGCGCGTCCAGTATAGATACAATTTTTCAAACGCGATCAACCAGCTCGGACAACATGTGTTACACGTAAAATTAATTTTTTATCTCATGAAACATTTTCAATTATATATTCGACTAATGATAAAAATAGACAAAAGCTCTTTGAGAGATAGTACTTTTGAAAATTTTATTATATACTGTAAGGCGTACAAAAGTAGAGTGTATATAATAGTTGTGGCATAAAAAACACCTGTGAGAAAATAAAACAAAAGAAAAAACATAATTGATCACTTACCGGATGTCACATTTGGAAACGGTTGTTCCGGCAACGACGGTGGATGTTCGTCCTCGGGCGAACGTTCGGACGCGTACCCTTGATCCTGCGGTTCACCGCTCACCAATTTGTTCAGCTTTAAATCAACGCACTTGCCAAACTGCTGCCGATGCTTAATCAGCTCGCAGTCGGGCTTGTGTATCTTCATCAGCAGATCGTCGTCCATATCGGTTGCATTTATTATACACGGCTGCGAGGACGACGAGTTCGACTCGAGACTCTTGCTGCTGTTGTTTCTCGTGTCTTGCTTACGCTTCGGCAAAGTGCCGACAAGATCGAGATCCGAGTTTCGGTGGCATCTGTTCTCCAAGGACACGTTGCTGCGACCGTATCGACTGCCAGAATCGACGAGCACCGTATCGGCGCTGCGATTTCTCTTGACCGAGTCGAAGTTGCCGTGACGACATCGCACCAGATCGAGGTCGCTCTGTTGATACCTGAAACCGTACCGGAGGGATCGCTTGCGGCTGATTTTCCACCGGAGAGAAACTTGCAACCGAAAGCGGCAACCGTCTTGCCGACGAGGATCGACACGAAGATCATTTTCCCTGACTTTACAATATGAGAAGTTATTTGCTCGCGTGCACATCGAGGATGCGGCAAGTTTGAGATTGGGAACTTCAGAGATTGCGCGTGATTAATCGATTAACATGGATTTAAGTCCAAAGAGGGACATTACTGGAATTTTCCAAATTGTCGTTCCTCGATAGTTTTGCGATGAAATGCGAAACGAATTGCGTGTAGGATAATAAATTTCAGCAATTTATTAACGATAATTAAAATTCTGGCGGAGATAAGCGCGCTACGTTGTATGTTCACAACCAACACGTTGATCACATATCACTCCGTGATATGAAAACAAGTTTTTTTACATTATTTTTATACGAGATACTACCTCCAAGGATCATTCTCGTCCAAGGAATCTTGCGATCGATGCTTAACGAGATCCAAAGTACCGGTCGGTCCGCTGTCCGAAAAATGCACCCCTAATGAACGTTTTTTGTGCGGCAACGTGCCGCCGAAGCTGCCGTCAATAGTATCGGACATGATGTTATTGTTATCTCGCTCATCATCATCCAGCACGTCCTTATCGTCCAGGTGATTTGGCAGCGAGCCACAAAATTTGTACCTGTGTGCGAGAATAGATGAATAAATAATTCACCTAATTCTTCAAGTAAGTGAGTAAAAGAGAGAATTATCTTATTGTTAAAAAACAAAATGTAATGTAGTGTAATATATTTGAGTGTGTATATATACACAACACAAGAAGAAAAAAATACAATAACTAAATTACTAAATTAATTATAATAAACGAATAAATTTTCTTTGAAGAATATTATTACACATCTCTGACGTGATGTGTCTCACGCATCGTACTCTGGCGTAAATCTGTTGGTTTTTTCTTCGTTACGTCAAAAATTTGAAGTGTTCAGAAACGTTGTCGAGAAGGAAATTTGCAGTAATTAGACGACAATGTTTCGTATAATAACCCGTCAAACATATATATAGCGTCAAAATTTTGCTAAAAAGTACACTATCATGATTTGCATATTCCGCAACTCGTACCGTTTGCTCGTTACTTTGCATTACACGGTCGACTGATTTTTGGAGTGCGAAATGAGAATTTCGCGTGTTCTCGCGTATGTAACACGAAACGTAAATTCGTTTACGCGTGAAAATTATGCGTGTTTAATCGGGAACCGCGCCATTGTCGTGACGTAATACGCCAACGGCGACAGAAATTGTGAACTCGCAAATAAGAAGAAAACAAAAATATATAAACGATAGGTGTATGAAATGCGTCTGATGCAAAGAGGAAAATTCTGACGCGTTACGGCACGTTCACGTGCTATGTGACATACGTAACACTCGAACAAGGTGAAATCGAGCGTACCGAGATCGAAATATCACTGCGGATGATGCTCGTAAGATATATCGCCACTTTTGTGTGCGCAAAATGTCAATGTATAGAATATAGAAGCACAAGAAGGCAATAGAATGTATAAGCACACACGTATATGTAGAAGTTTTTTACTGGAAATGACAATGAGATTCAAATTTATTTCAATCGTATATAAACGGTGACATAAAGTAATGATGACTATAGAAATATATGACAGACAAGTGACACAACATTTTTATATTGCATAAAATATTTTTCTATTTGTTTCTTTTGCTCAAGAAAAATATATTTTGCGGTTATTATTCTTTTTGTTTCTATTCTATTCTGTTGTAACGAATATACTTTTAAATTATTGAAAGATGAGTCAAAAAACGTGACATAATCGTCGTAACGCGCGTCACGATACACATTTCATATTTACCCGGCAATCGTACTTACGTATCTCATGAAATATCCTACAACACGCGCACCGTACCAGAGACCGCCTACAATAGGCATATGTGAGTATGTATAGGAAACTTTACTAATAATTCGTACATGACATCATCCGCCATAGTCAGGTTTTCACGCCCGGTAGATAGGCGAATGCCTGCCTGCGCAAACTTTCGTGGCATGCATAAGCGCACAAGCGCGCAAAACATTTGACCTTTCACCGGTCTCTCTACTTACGTCGATCTTTTGCGCGCGCGTTGCGGATGTTCCGATATATTTCATCTAAAAATCGCTATTCACTTCCTAGTTATACAACGATATACAAATAACAATCTTGCAAAAAAAATCTTGATAAAACACTGTTATATCAAGTGAGAACAAACATAAAATCGCACAGAGTTGAAGTTTATAGACATTCCATATTAACATACACTTTTTTAATGCTTGTATTTCAGTAATCTCATTACAATTAATTGAAGTATACAATTGATTGAATTTCTCACAAAGTTTAATGTTTTTCCTGTTTATTTTTATTTTTTGAAATGTTTTGAATAAACTTATGCAATTAAAAAATAGTTCTTCAGGTTTTAACAAATGCTAAACGGAATCGCGAGTTCGGTTCCGCGCATTACTCGCGGTGTCGGCTGTTACACAACAGCACTTATGCAAATGAGATCAGGAAGTGCGGACGTCTTTTAATATTCCTCTCCCAACTGCTCTTTTAATCCCCGCGTGCCCTTATCCCTTCCGCCTTTGCACCGTCTCCGTGTAAACGAGGGTTTAATAGAAGCCGCTCAAGTTCAACGACTAGCCGACCCTTAAAGGTAGGTTAAATTATCTCGCGCGGCCCCGGCAACTCGTAAAGATATCAAAAGATGCTATATTTACTGGTGCAACATTGCTCTCGAAGCAAGAAAAAAAAAGAATATTGTTGCGCGTTTAAAATATTATCTTCTCTAAGAATTTAATTAGCACGCGCTCGTTGTATTAGGACTTTATCTCGTCGCGCGAATAATCTCTCAACTAAATATAGCTTCTTGCGGTTCGCACGTTTGCGCAGAGATACCGCCTCTTAATCCTCGATGAAATAATCAAGAAGACGATTGCGCGTCAGAGAGAATAAACCTCAGAAAAAATCCGATCGATTCGCAATCAATCTTAATCGATTCCTTGCGTGAACTCTTGCTATCCCGTATGAATCTTTTTATACGCTTTACTGCCTTACAAAGTCGGTTATCATAATTAGCTTAAGCGGCGCGCTTTGATGGCTCTCCTGAGCATTTAAAAGTATCAAACGAACGATTATTATCAACTAAAACGAAGTATCGGAACACATTTGTAACCATTAACAGAGAAAGAACTCTAATAAAGGCTATCGTTTCACCGCACCACCGTCTTATATTGTAATGTTACAATCAGCGATATTTTGTGGTTTCAAGTTCCTTTCATAACAGCGTTTTATTCAGTAAATTTAAACAAGATTTATTATTATTTATTCTTCTCCTTATTTATTATTATTATTATTATTATTATTATTTATTATTATTACTGTTTAAAAACAACATTTTTTCATACACGGCGCGCAATAACAAACTAATAAAACAGAAGAGATTTTAATAGAAAGAGAGAGACTTTTGTATAAATAATTAATTATGAAAATTGTTCTCTGTTTGCGCAGTTATATTTATATAAATATATATTAATATATATTACATATAATTTATTATTATAATTACTATAATATAAATGTACATACAGTTGATTTTAATTTAACAGTGCCAAATATTAATCCGCGTGCGTGCATTTTAATTTATAATACACATTAACATAATTTACAATTATACTTTACTTCTTTTTTTATTGCATATAATATAGGAATAATATTATATTATATATAATTGTTAGAAAGCAAATATATATATATAACGCAATTAGAGATATAATTTTAAAGAAGTGAGATATAATTAATGAAAATAAGAATGAAAATTTGACTAACAATAACAAATCTTATTATTAACATTATGTTTGAATTTCCATTATATATTTCAGATATTTATAAGTGATCACTAGATTTCTCTGTCAAGAGTAAACTATATCGGCGTAATATAAGCAGTGCCTTAAGAATATCAGACAAGAAATCGATCGTGAATTGACCTCTGGGAGAGTGTTACAACACGACTCTCCCCTGAGCGTTTCACTCGCTTTTCGTGCCGTTCAAAAATTAATAGTGTCTATACACAAGGCTACATTACAAAGAGGATCTAATCTTCTACTGCGGCGCCATAAGAAAAGCGAGCGATTAAAACACCTCGCGCATTTTCCTTTTTCCCTCTTGTCTATAATATTTCATAGTATTTAATCATCTCTCATCTTCGGATTTTTACTGTGCGCATCATCTTTGTATCTGCACAAACGACTTCGATCCACCAATCAAAAATCGGAATTTAATTTATTTTATACATATGCATTAATCTAACTCTTCTTCAAAGAAAATTAAACGCAATGCAAATCAATTATATATTTGCTGTCTTTCTTGTTTCAGTATAAAGTCGCGAGATTAAACTCTTCCAATATTACTTGACAAAAACTAAAAATACCTTAAACGTGATTATTTTCTTTTCAGTGAAAAAAAATTTATGTAAAAAGTTAAGACTGAAAAAGTGGTAAGGCATATAAAATGTTTTTTTCTGATAGTAAATGAATAATAATAAGATGAATAACTAACCTTTCTTTCTGCGCGCTGGAGCAAGGCACTAGTATCTTTCCCATAGTGTTCAGTTTTCCCTTGGGATCACACAGGTTACCGGAAGACTGAGTGCGCCGGCCAGTTAGGCCCTTACCGTTATGTCTGCTCAGATTTGAGCCCATTGTCTGTTCGGTCGTCTGAACTTGATTCGTTTGGTCGTCCTCGTGATGAATCACGGCATTTCCAGGAGTGTTCTCCTTATTCGGCCAATCAAAATATCTATCTACTTGGTCCTTGGCATTAACTCTGTCGAATATCGGCGGTGATAATAACGCCGGCCGATTCCTCTTACCACCGGAAACAATCGGTTGTAACTGAGGCCGATTGTAGCCACGACGACGATTGCTTGTTTGCGGCGACTCTTTATTTACGGACAACCTCTGTACTTTCCAGTTGTCCTGACCGCTGCTGGTGGATGGCACAGTCACCACTTCCTCACCTGCAACCAAAAAGTGATATCGTCGAATTGACTTCAAGAGCTCTTTGTGCATCTAGCTTTTAACTTAACGTAACGCATACATCGCTTAGATTAGATGTTTTATTTTTACTCTCTCTACCGCGCCCGTTGTGTATGTGCGTCTGTGCGAACAAGTATTTGAGTTTGAAGCGGACAACGTTTTGCAGAGGATGTAATGTCGTGCATTCTAACGCAATTATAAGCTATTTTATACACAGCGCAGGATGCGTTTTGTAGCAAAACTCATTTGATTCAAGAACTTAACACGTAACTATTTATTTATTTTATATTTAACTTTTATGACGTTTGCCGTAAGCCACGGTTGAAAAGGAAGACAAAATGCGAAACAGAAACGCGGAAGCTTCCAAGCGACTTTGTGAAATAGAAATATGTTTCAGTGCGTAAGTTTAGCTTTAAAGAAGAAATGTGGTATGTTTTTACCACTGTAGTTCTGAAGTTTATTTTTCTCTTTCTTGCTAGTCTTTGTCAGTTTTACAAGAAGATAAAACAATTGCGAGTGAATTAAGGTCGAACCAGTCTTTAGCAGAACGTAACGAAATTTTATGTCGAAACAAGCAATGATAGCAGTTGTGCAAAACACGATTTCAATTTTTTTTCAATATTTGACTTTTGACCAAGTGGTGTTTTAGAGTGGTAACGTGGCTCACTATTTCAATACTACGCATCCAAATGCAATTTATGACTTTACTCAAAGTGGAGAATCGTGTGTCAAATGATATTGCTAATTTAAGAGAAGTTATTAGTTTCTTCGTATAATTTAATAGACTTTTACTACTAATGTAGTAATGCACGTACTTAGTCTAATTAATACAACACACAGTTGGAAATTAATTAATTTGCGTAATATGTAGTCACATTTACATGAGAAATTCCTTTGTAAATTTCTTTTATGATTTCTTTTGTGAAAGTTAATTTTCTCTTAGTAAAAATACATTTATTTGATTAAAAATCTTGCATTTAATAATTAATTAATTAAAATTGATTATATTCCGTATACAGCGCTAGTACGGATTACAGCTCAAAACACACGTATCAATACGAAACAATCAGCGCTAATTCCGTTCTTGAGCTTTCGCAGCAGTTGCATTCGCGGCTCGCACGGCGTATTCGAGACGCGTTAGTGTTATGTCTATGAAAACCGATTCATAGCCGCATATCCGACGTTCGAGTCACTAATAACTATGGTACACGAGGCTCGTTGCATAACTGTATTATTAATGCGACGAGCATGCATGCACGTGCATCGCTCGCCTCCACGTATCCAGCGAACGGAGCTGGATCGAAATGCGCCAGGCTCGTATCACGGTCGCGTGTTGTGTCTACGAGCGGAAAGTTTTAATTTGACACGAGAGAATCGACGGCAGTCGTCAACGTGTCAAAGAATGGGAACACTACTTGATTACACGATTAATTCCTCGGAGAATTGTGAATTGTGACTCGCTTTCGGCTTGGCAAAAGCGAAATTGATCTCTTTACAGTTGAAATATATGTGCACATTGTAAATAATATAAATGTAACTTTGGACAAACAATATTATAAAAAGAATTACAGTTGAACATTTCTACAAGTTACATTTTATTGCGTATTTCTAGATATTTGTCTGTTTTTTTCAATATTTGAAGTGTGCTAATATTTAATAAAATTGTCTCGTTTTAATTCTCAAGTAACATAGAACACTGACTACTCTGCAATTCGTCGTTCTTTCACAAGCGGTAAATTGACTCAAGAAAAGCGTCGGTCATTAACATACACGAGGAGGAAATGCCTGGGAGTCGTGCTTGTACTTGATTTCTCGCAGGAAAATATTATGTTACAAATTCTACGGGATAACGAGATAATTGATCAGTTCACAAATCGGCAACATCGGATGAATACATTTTGTTCATTTATAAGAAGATTCCACCTTTTTGACGGTGCGTAAAAAAAATTACAAAAGTTTATTAAACTACCTTTTTTATCAGACCAGAAATTAATCAATAAATCTTATAAATATATGTGTGTCTTAAAATCGTATACGCAATATAGATATATTTAATATATTTTCAAAAACGAAGATAAACAACTTTCTCCTAAAAAAGATACTTAGATATAAGTTACTTAAAAATTTTCATTCTATAAGATATGATCTTTTACAAAAACAGTTTATATCAGAAAAATAATTGAAATCTCAACAATAATTTCTCTATCTCCAAATAATCTGACTTTGTAAACATAAATTCCGTGTCGTCTATCTTAACATTTTGTTCACGCATCAAGTATAATTTTCTTTGAACATTTATTCGTAACAACTCTATATATGTATACACAACCTATTCTCAGATAACGTCGTCAATGTTTGGTTAACCGATGAAACCGTCGCTTTACGATGCAAGAGAGAATAGGAGTCGAAAATTAGCTGCGACTAAGACGTAGCTCCCACAAAAAGCTTTTAGCTACTCTTGCACAGCTTTATGACAAAACGACTTTACGTCTCTGATAAAGTTATCTTATGCAAGCGCAACTCTTATTTTGTAGAATGAAAAGAGTTGCAAATGATTTTGTATTTATATAAAATTTACATGCGTAAAGTTTTCTCAATGCTAAAAAACGGTTTTTATCTTTATCTCTTCAGCTTTAACGCGCGCGAATAAATCTTAAACTTGTAAATTGAAGAGTCTGTAAATTCTAAATTTACAAAGCGCTCACAAAATATTTTTCTTTTATCTTCTCTGCAGTAATCGAAATTCGTCGAAATCGATGAGCTTGTTGTGCAGACATTTTCTGGTAAGAAAAACGCGTTTTCGTTTACGTTTGGATAATATCTTACTGTTGATTCACAATCAGCCAGTTACTATACAGTGAATACGACAACGGTACGTCTCATTTAATCGATAAATTGATTCTGAAAATAGCTGTGTTCCTGTCGGCGACATCGATAATTATTTTCAGCTCTTCCGGTCGCCAATAAAATCGGAAATGAGTAAACTTGAGAAATTAATAGGAACTCTGAAAGATTATTGACGTCACAAAGAACCGATAAAAAACTGATCTGAAATTTATTGCGTGATCTTTTTATTCGTAAGATCGAAATTTAATCAGTATTAAACTTAGCAGAGTACATTCTTTTCGAAAAATTTAAACTCTACGACTAAGTGTAATTCTTAATAAAATCTCAATTCATTTATTTTGGTTTTTCAATGAATCTTATAAACACAGAGTTTGTACTAAAAGTTTGTTGTAAAGATTTAATTAAGAGATTTAATGCGAGAAAGAGACTTAATTACCAAGATATTTAAGATTGGAAAGTTGTTACACAAATCACTCACTTTCTATTGAATTTTCATTATAGAAAAGTTGAAATCTCTCTAAATTTATAGAAAAAAACTAATTGATAAGAAAATATGATAACATTAGAACGGCTTTTCTGTATAAATATCTCTTCTTCATTATTAATATCCTTTATCTGTTAAATTTCTCTAATGAGATTCAAAAGAGAAATTATTCTAAACTGAAATACATTCTGCAAGGTTAAGGATAATTTAAATGTGAGATACCGTGTGTGTTTTCGTGGCGGCGTTTATCTACGTGTAAATCAAATGCGGGTTTGCTTGTAAAGTATTCAGTGTCGCTGGTATATCGAAGAGAGAAAGGGGAAACTCGCGGCATATACGAAACACTACGTGATACAATGCGAGTCTGGTATTATAATTACTCTATAATTAGATCCGAGAGAGCGTCATGCGCTACTGCGGAACTGAAACGCTCGATTCACCGTCCTGTAATTATCTTTAGGTGCCTTGTATCAACTGACACTGCGGCGCGCTGCCAGTGAAAAATAATTCGAGATTGTTTGGGACGTGAGAGGCTCGACTAGTTGTAAAAGTCGTTGGTGAGATCTCGTGTACTAATTCACATTATGCCGAGCACGTGCTTGCCAATTGCAAACACAAGCAGCAACTTGCATATTCGCCGGATCGAAATACTACGTTAGAAAATCCACTTATATACCGATTGACTTGCTAACAGATTTATTATTGTAAGAAATTATTCTCAGATCTTGGAAAATGTCAAGTCACCATATTTATGTGTGATATACAATTAAATACAAATTTAATTAAATAATGAAATAGCAGATTGGAAGACAACTTTTCAAAATACATTACAGCTCCAATATATTTTTGTAAAAATCTGGTACGCTAAGAATATTGTTCCTCTTTGTTCTAAATTGAGAAGCCGTAGAGCTGTTAAGCTAATGGACTTTGCGAGCAGTGACAACTTATTTGAAGAAACTGATAAGAAAACCAAATATGTTTTGAGGATCGAATACACTGAGAGAGACAGCTTAAATGAGCATTCATAATTGTCTTTATAAAGGTTTATCTACTCTCTATGAGTTTACGAATGTTCTTGAAGAAAGAAAATCACGAAAGTCAAGTTCTATAAGTATGGGATTTAGTGTTCAAGTTGGAAGCCAAGATTTAAGCGTTTACTGAGTTTATGTGCGTACCTCGAAAATTTCGGAGTCTGAATATTCAGCGTATAATGTTTTTGACTAAAGTATCTAGTTTTACCAACTTCTACAATTATCTCTTTATTACAAATATACATGCGTGTTACTAATAAGATAAGATATTTTTGAAATTGTTTTTTACCTTGAAAAGGTATGAAATCTACAATATTAAATGCAATTCAGTTGATCTATCTTTTCTGCACGAGTTCGATGCAATAACACTGCAAATCGACGTTGTTCCAGTTAATTAAATACTGTTTGCGAGCCCGAGGGAATACCTGCAATACGTAATTACGATTCGGAGAGAGAGAGAGAGATTATGCAAATATCGAACGATATGATGACATGGTGATAGCATAAATAGTATTCGAACACTTTCACAGTTTAATCAGTTTTTGGCATGATTATCTAAAGAGTTAATTCCCGCAATAAAATTATCGTACGACGTTTCTTGATTATCAAGCTCATCTTA